GATAATACCAAAGTGAGGCCCAAACTTTACCTGTACAATAACCATTTGTATACCTAACCCTGAATTGTACCCCACATCTTTAAAATGAAAATTTTTAAAAAAAGAACAGATCAAGCAAGGATAAAAGTGGTTGGTAGAAGAAGTCAGGGAAGAAAGAGATTGTGGAGATCCTTATAGGTCAGTGAAAGAACTTGAACTTGTGCTCTGAGTAATATGGGACACCTTGAGAGGATGTTCCATTCAAGTAAAGCAATGGCGCCATCTGACTTATTTTTTTTCTAATTTACAAAAAAAGAATCTTATTAATTCCAATTATGGAAGCTGAGAAGTTGAAGGACAAAGGGGTCACACCTGGTGAGTGTCTTCTTGCTGGTGGGGACTCCGCAGAGTCTAGAGGTGGCACAGGGATCTGGCAAGAGGGCTGAGCATGCTAGCTGACGTCTCTCTTCCTTTTATTATTATTATTTTCTTATTTCAATAGTTTTAGGGATACAAGTGGTTTTGGTTACATGAATGCATCGTATTGTGATGTATAGTCTGGGCTTTAAGTGTACCCATCACCCAGACTTAATTTTTAACAAGATCACTTTGGCTCCTGTGTTGAGAAAAGAATGAGGGAAAGGTGGGAAAAGAGCCAAGAATGTAAGCAAAGAGAACAACTGGGAGGCTGTTGAAATAATACAGACAAGATGTGTTGGGCCAAGATGTCAACAGTGGGAACAGACAGAAGTGGTCACATTCTCATTCTGTTTTTAAGGTTTAACAGAAAGGATTTGCTAACTAATTAGGCATGAGGTGTGAAAGAGAAAGAGAAGCATCAAGGATGATGCATGCCAAAGTTTTTGGATTGAACAAGTGTGAAGAATGTCATTTACTGAGATGGGGGAAGGGAGAGGGTTTACATGAGATTAATTTTGGTAAGTGTAGCCCTGTGAAGTGTGAGATGCATACTAGATATCCAAGGAGGCAGACATGTCAAGTAGGCAATAGGATATATGAGTCTGCATTCAAAGGAGAGAGATGAGTACCCAGGCCATCAGCAGCATGTAAATGCAAGCTGTGAGGTGGGATGAGCTCACCAATGAAGTGAGTGCAGGTGAGAAATCAAACACGTTAGAGAGTTAAACTCTGGGGCATTTTGACATGTAGAGGTCAGAGAGATGATCAGAAATCCCAGTAAATAAAATGAAAAAGAGAATGAAGTAACCTGGAAGCCAAATAAAAAGATGTTTGAAGGAGGAGAACGCTATCAAGTAGTTATATCAGATTCTTCCCATAAATCAAGTATAATCAAGACCAACCATGAACGGGTGGATTTAGCAATATGGAGGTCACTGATAACCTTGGTAAGAGTACAGGTAAAAGTAGTTAGGGTGGAGTGGAGAAATTGATAACATCAACAGTAAACTTTTTCCAGTAGTTTTTGTTTGTTTGTTTTTTGATGACATTTCTTTTTTTCTTTTCTTTCTTTTTTTTTTTTTTTTTTTTTTTTAAAGATTTGGGATACAATTCAGGATTAGGTATACAAGTGATCATTGTACAGGTAAAGTTTGGGCCTCCCTTTGGTCTGCACTTTACCTAGTTTGAGATCAGAGACTCTTATTGATGTTGTGCCCCCTCCTCCGGCAGTTTCCCACTACTCCCAATCCCTTTCTTTTAGTATTATGATAAATGTTCAGGGTCCACTTATGTGAGAGAGAACATGTGGTACTCCATTCTTTGTTTCTGTGTTTTAATAAAAGGACAGAAATGGAGTGGTATCTGTAAGGAAAGGGATCAAAATAGGAGTTTGAGATAAGTAATGGTTTGTTCAAATGCTCATGGGGATAATGTAACAGAGAGGGATGCAGGTGTTGGTGCAGGAAAGAGAAGAGAAAATTGTTAATTTTGCCTTTCAGAAGTCAAAGCGTTTGGAATTCAGTGTTTTGGAAGTGTTGACCTTAGCCAAGAGCATTGATATGTCTCAAGCCTGGTAACAGGAGTAAAGATGAGGGACAGGACAGATGGTGATGGTGAAGGTGCTGATGGAAATGTTCTTTTGGTTGCTTCTGTTTTCTCAGTAAAATAGGACTTAGGGTTATCAGCTGAGAGTGAGAACAGGAAAGAGATGATGAAGGCTTGAGAAGAAAGAGGAGTCAGTCATTTTCTAAGAGAATGGAAGATTGCGTGGAATTGGGAAATGTGGTGTGACTGGTGGTTGTCGTCAGAGGCAGACTTGACAGTGGTGATTGTGACTTTAAAATGAGGTCCATCTGCTTGGTGGCGTGTTCCTTCTCAGCCACAGTCTGCTGGGCAGGTGCAGGCAGGGAGGAAGCAGACAGATGAACAAGGGTTGTGGTTTATTTTCGTCCATGAAATTTTTTAAGAGTGGGACAAAGAGATTCGAGGTGGTGTGCTTATGATGATTTCCCAAGATTTTCAAGTTGAGTGAAGAAGCCAGAGCAGAGGTGAAGGGATGCTAGAAGGCCAGGTGCTGGAGGATCATCTGTGTGGTTAACAAAATTGCCAAGGACCATGAGCAGACCCACAGGGCTGGAGCAGATGGCAGTGAACAGACCTTAACCTTCAAGGAATTGGCGACGTGACCAGGGTGAGTAGCTGCTGGCAAAAAGGATGGGGAGAGCAGCAGGGTCTGAAGGACTCTTCGCAGAGGAGGGATTTTAGAAAGGAGAGAGCAAGAGTGGTTTGGAAGTTAGAATGAAGAACAGGAATATCTACCCCTGCTCCCAGCACAGTGGAATGGAGAGTGTGGGGAAGAGATAGTCCCTGCTTGAAAAGACTGCGGGAGGTTGTTCCTTGGGAGAGCAAGCTTCCAGTTAGAGCAAAGATGAAGAGGATATTTCTGGAAGAGGTTGAGGATAAAGAGGGGCTGTACTGATGTTGATCATGAGGCCAAGGGGTGCAGTAGAAGGGTTTCAATAAGGGGGAGAACTTTGGGGCCTGAGGGATGTGGAAAACGCCTAAGCTTCTTGAGGTGACTTTCTGTGGAATCCAGAGTTCCAAAATAGCAGTCTTGCCTGTGAGGCATCTTGAGTCTTTCTGCTCCCAGGCCACCATATGGTTCCATGAACTTTCTGGGCTTTTCTGGATGGCAGGCAGTGTTGCATCACATAGGAACAATGAAGGGCCTGCCCCCGTTCCAGGTCTCTCTTTGACACCTGGTTTGTGTCCTATTGAGGCTGTGTATTGCTGTGCTGTGGCCCTGAGATGCCCCCACATCCTCCCTGGCTATGCTGGCCTTGCTCACAATGCCTCCATGAGGTGTGTTGAGGCTGAGAGAACCAGAGAGGAATGCCCACCAGCTTAGTGGCTAGGAGCAGTGTTTCACAGGCTCCAATGACTTGCATGCCAGCCTTACAAAACTTATCGCAGCTATAGAATACATGCACCATTGTTCCCTTATTGATTTTCTGTAAATATACTCACCTTGTTTTCCTATGGAAATATTTTTAAGAACACACATAAGAAGTCTGCCTCAATTAGAAAGTTCTTGTAAAAAATGAATATAGAATGAGAATGATGAAAATTTAAGAATGCACATCCTCATGTACCCCCAAATTATCTCAGTTGTCATTTTGGGAAATGAGTGAACCAGAGAATGTCTGGGTCTCAAGACTCATTTCTTATAAAGCTGTCCCTGAGGGTCTTCTTTTCACTATCGCTTCCACCATCCTGCTGATGGCCCTGTGATGTGCGAATGGGAGAATCAAGCTGAGTTACTGCACTTGAGAAGGTCATTTCTCTAATGTGCAGGATAAGATTCCCATGCAGGGGTGCAGCCCATGCAGAGGCCCTGAGGTGGGAGAGTGTGTGCCTCCAGGGAGCACAGTAGGAAAGGAGACACCTGCCAGGGAGATATCTGCTGGGAAGGGATTGGAGAGGACAGATGTGGGCGTAGACCATTGGGAGAGACCCTCATAGAGTCCACCTGAGACCTAATGGCCTAGGGTAGTCAGATGACTCTGATGACAAAGAATGGTAGGATGAAACTCCCGAAATGTGAAAGGAGCAAGACCCACACTTGTTGGAATGCAGGAGACAAAGAGAAGGGAAGTCGGGAATGACTTCAGCCCCTCTGACTGGCATTTCTTGTTAGGTGGTGGTGGGATGCTTTAGATGGGGAGCTCTGGAGTTGAGACTGGAGGGAATATGTTGCGTATGGTTTTAGGCAAGCCAAATTGGAAGTTCCTGGGTGACATCCAAAAAAAGATGTCTCCAAGTTCATTCAAAGAAAGATATCATCCAAGCCCCAGATGTGGGTCCAGAGCTCAGAAAAAAGGTGGGATGTGGAGATAGGAATTGGAGACTCATCAGCTAGTGTTCTGGGTGTGATTGTATTGACTGTGATGTCTACCAGCCTCTTGTCACTGTAACATTCATATAAGCTGATGTATGACAGAATTTCTTCCCCAGTCATCCCATTAAAGATAGATTGAGATTTCTCCCTATGAAAAGAAGCAAAACTATATCAATTATTTTTATACTGACAGTTACTGAGACGCAGTAGCATTATTTTCTCCTTCTCCCCCCTTTCTTCCCTCCCGCCTCATTCTCCCTCCTCTGATTTCTATTCTCTGTTTTGTTTTATTTTTGTTTTGTTTTTTCCTCCTCCTCCTGTCCACTGTGGTGCCATCTGGTGACCTACACCTGAAATTTTGTTTGGGTGCATCACTATATCAAAAACGTCGTCCTGTGGATTTCCTTTCTACAACCCAAGTGGAGGCTTAAGGGATACTTTTTATAACCGATTAAGAGGTGACCATCTGCCCCTCACTTTACATAGGCACATGCTGCTTCTAACAAGATTTGGAGCGAAAGCTGCATTTTTCAGTAGGATACAATTATTATTTATAAGCCTAATTTATGCAGCTAGATTAATAATATTTTCAGTTCTAGAGAAATTATACATGCTCATCACTTTCTGTTAATTTAATTTTTTAAAAATTTTAGTCACTTTTCTTCTAATTAATGCTGATTCATTTTGACTTTCTGGTTAATAGATTACTGTCCTAGATGAGACGTGGACTGTATTCAGGCGTTACAGTCGCTTTCGAGAAATGCATAAAACATTGAAGTTAAAGTATGCAGAGGTAAGTTATGAAATTATTATCTCCAATTAAGAACATTCATTTTGTAAAGTAAATGAGCTGATTGCATTAGCAATGTCGTCTCTTTCTCTCTTTCTTTCTCTCTGTAGATATTAGCTGATAAGTGTCAACAAGTTTTATTTTAATACTCAGCTGTCAAAGATAGGTTTTTAAATTATTGTCCTCTGCTCTATTTCTATTCTACACAATTTAAACATTTTCTGGACACAAGATTTTGAAAGTGATACACAGTGAATGACAGTAAATGAGCTCCATTCCTTTCCTATATTTTATGATTAACTTTAAATAAACATTTTAATCAATATACAACTTCTCAAATATGTGACCTGTAAAATTAGTAATAGATTTCTCAGTATAGATTGCCCTTTTTTCTTTTAATAAAAGACTACATTAATGCTTAGTCTTCCACTTAATGAGAAGTGAAGTCATAAGAGCTATTTTGCTAAGAACATAGAAAGGTATATAATTAATATGGAATTATCTAGAAGCAAGAAAGTGTTTCAAGCATCATGTCAGATATCCACGGTGTGTTGATACATTAGTAATCTCTTCCTTTTTGGCCAAAGTCTGGTTTTTAAAATAATCTTAAGCAAAGAAAAGTTTTCCTAGAAAGAAGGTGTATTCTCTGAGTGATGATGATGGTGATTTTACTTCAACTAAAGGAAGCCTTGTACAGGCAAAGCTTTTTTTGACATTTTGGTTTGAACCAAATCAACAACAGTCACTGTCTAGTTAGCTTACTTTCACTAAGTATTGCTTTTTAGCATCAGGATTATATTTTCTTGTGACATCTTAAAAAATAATTTAGTTAGAAATTTGCCTCCCTAATTTGGTTCACATTAAATAAACAAATGTTTCCTTAGCACCCCCAGGACTTTCACCCCTTCTTATCTGATATACAGTACAATGTGAAATAACTGTTGGTGAATAAAATCGTTTATTGATGTGTAGAAGAGACTTGAGCTCGAGCAGAATTAAGCTATCTCTGAAATTCTGTTGTTAAGCTATCATACTAGTATTCTGTTAAAAATTGACACCCTTTCAACTAGGAATTATAGTTTGTTGTTCCCAAGAGGCTTCATTCCAGAAGTAACTGCATCAAAATCAAGTTATTAAGTTTGTTTCCACAGCTTATCCTTCATGTCCCAAATTAATATTGACAAAAGTTGAAGTATCATGTACATAAAAACAATGCTTGTTTTTAAAGTGAGCTTTGCAGCTCCTTAACTGCTTGATTATAAGTTACTACATCAGTATTTTAATAGTGTACAGATTTTGCATATTGTATTAACATGCCACAGTAATAGATGAGAAAAACAATTTAATTGAAACAAAAAGGTGCAAGCTTTGTATACACTCTTGTCATTCATTCTATGATTGCATTTGTTTCATATTGATTCTTTTATTTGCTTAACCCATTCTATGTGGGTACATTTTCCTAGATTCTGGTAATACTGCAGACAAGAACAAAAGTCTCTTCTTCTATATATCTTAAATTCATATGGGGAAGACTGACTATAAACAAGGAAATATTAATAAGTAACATTTTAAAAGTGCACTTGCCATATTACAGTTACCATTTTAAGTAACTTGCATGTCTTATGTGGAAAATACCAATAAACAAGCGTTGGGGCAGAAGGTGTTGGGCACTTTAGGGTACAGTCATTTCAGGGTTGGGCTCTATGACAAGGTAACACATGAGCTGCGATATTTAAAAACGTTTTCAAAGAATCAGCACACAGCTCTAGTCAATGTTTTTAAAGAAAGCTCCAGAACAAATATAACATAAGCATTCTTTAAGGATATAATAGAAGAAAAGTTGCCCAAGGTTAAGAATGATGTGAACCTATAATGAATGACTTTATCAATAAGTCAAAGAGGTTGCCTAGTACCAGGTCAAAGGAATGAACAGAAATTATTATGTATGTGAAAATATTTTTAAGAGGAAAAAATATGTAATATAAACATGTTGAAAAAAATTTCTTCAAATGAAGAAAATCAAACAGGTACCATTCATGAATTTACAAATCTGTAGTAAGCAACTCTGCACTGTGAATATAGTTGTAAACAAAACAACCACATTCTCTGCTCTCATGCAGTAGAGAGAATTAGAAAATAGTCAAATAAATAAGGTTATTTCAAATCATGTAAAAGGCCATGGAGAAAATAATACAGGGCAATGTGAGCATGGTGCGAGAGCTAGGCAATGGGGCCACTTTAGATTGGACAGGTCAGGCATGTCTTTCTGAAGGAGTGGGACTTGAACTGAGATCTTAGTGTTGAGAAGGAGCCAGGTATGAAAATCCAGAGGCGAGCACATTGTGAGCAGAGGGAATAGTGAATGCAAAGGCCCTGTGGCAGGACCAGGTTTCCAAGAACAAAAACGCCTATGCAAAGTGACAAGCATGGTAGAACTATAGTCTTAGTGCATGTGAAGCCACTGGACAGTATTAAACAAGGTAACAGAGTGATCTAATTTACTTTAAAAGGACATTTTAGTGGTCATGTGGAGTTTGGGTTTTGGGGTGATGGAGAGCTCAAATCCAGAATTCTGTCTTAGACATTAAATTTGAGGACGCTTTTAAACTCCTAGTTGGAAATATCAAGATAGTTGAAGTATATAAGCCTGGAGTTTAACGGGAGAGATATTATGAATTGTATCAGAAATACAAGTCATCGTTTGGGTCAAAAATAACTTAAGAAAAATCATTTTGCTTCTGTTTCAATTTCTAACGAAGTCTCAGTGTTCAGACCATTATGATTTCTGCTCACAGCAGCCCTTTTCCTGATACAGGCTCAGGATCTAAATGATAAACAAGAATGGAATTGCTTTTCCATGTTGAGTTCAATTTTTGTGACTTATCACTCTCTCATAAGGACAACAAAAATTACTTTAAAAAGAGAACCCACAGACACATGTGTGCCTGTATTTGAAAGAGAGCAGGTGATCTGAGCAGTGACTTGAAATCCTGTGTTAAGTGCCTAAAACAAACACCACATGTAGAAAGGCCAGAAGGCTGATTGAGCCCTGAGGGGATGGGCGGATGCCATGACTCTGACCAATCTCCTCATCATTCACCAAGCACTGACTGTGTGCCGGGTGCTGTGTGAGCATCCGCCATGGGTCTCCTGAAAGTACTGTGAAGTGCAGGGGGCATTCCACAGGGCAGATTCTGAGAGCAACAGGCATGAATAACTTGCCTCATGTCACACAATTGGTAACAGAAGCCAGCATAGAAACCCAGCACTTTCACTCTACTTTCTGTTTCTAAAACCAATGATAATATAAAAATGGGGGGGGGTTATCTCCATTTTTATTATCTTTAAAAACATGGTAGTCTGTCATTCTAGATCTAGATGAATCTTATTTCAGCCAGAAGAGAACAATGCTATCCATTTAACATTTGCTTTCTTTTTTTTTTTTTTTGAGTCGGAGTCTCACTCTGTCGCCCAGGCTGGAGTGCAGTGGCTGCTCCCGGCCACTGCAGCCTCAACCTGCTGGGCTCCGGCGATCCTTCTGCCTCAGCCTTCC